AAGTAACCACTGGGTCCACGTGTAACCTCAGTGAGAAAAGTCAGTGAGACAGGGCTAATTCCTGACGCGTTTCGTGTAAAAACACGTTGTCAAAGGGATAGCCTTGTCCCTGATGTTATGATCTTTTATAACCGCATGCGAATACTCATTATGAGTACCGCAATGCGGAAAACGAACTGCGCATGCGCGAAGAGGGCGCCATTTTGCGGAAGTCCCGCGCACACGTACTACATCCGCGATCACAGGGAAAATCGATCTGCGCATGCGTGGGGTGGGCGCCAATTTAAGGGAGCTCAAATGACTGTCAGCAGCAATGACATGAAGAGACCACGGGCTCCTTAGAAAATGACAAAATGGGAATCGATTAGAATATTACAATCGGATTATCACCCATGATAAATGTGGTATATAGGTGTCAATATTAATGAAAAAATCCTTAAAAAAAAGTTAGTTAAAAACAGCTATCTTCAACCATATATTACTAGAGGGGAAAAGAAAAGGTCATGAAAACAGGCGCCATCTTATTGTGGGCCACAAACATAGAGTAAAAGTATTAGGGAAAAATGAATGAAAATTGCAATATCAAAAATATTAATAAAATATGACTGAAAGGGATAATATAATTTATGTGAGAAGAGAAAGATCAGGGTATATATCAAAAATATAATATTCAAAAACCACTGTTCTCTAGACGAATGTCCCAACTTACATAATAACATATAAATAAATAATAAAGTATCCAATGCACATTAAAAGGGTAAAATAAAGCAATATCAGTGTTACAAAGGAATGAATATAAGACACATGAATCCTGTATTGGTTATGTATTAAAACATGGTCTAAATACTAGACTACATGACAATAAAACAGCATTTAGAAACGTATAGAATAGGATATACCAAAAAAATATTTTTTTAAAAATGGTAAAAAGTTAAAAAATCCAAAACTAAAATATTCTGAGGGTTAAACAATGGGTTGGTGAAAAATATATCAATAGTACTCTGATGCTGGGGCGCACTGACCATTTGGAAACTCGGGCACTGCCCGAGGGCCCGGAGTCAGTAGGGGGCCCCATGAGATGCCACTGGTACCCTTTTCATAGGCTTTTTTGAGTTTGGGCAAGGACACAGGGGCCCCATGATCCCCTATTGCCTGGGGGCCCCATGAGTTCTCAGTCCACCCTGCTCTGATGTGATAAATAGAATAGAACACACCAAAAAAAAGGGGTAAAAGATGGCAGGACATTGTAAAAGACTAAGATTGACCTAAAATAACATTATACGGTTGTGAACCGTCATATATGTTCTAATAAATAAATGTAAATGAATGAAACAGAGTATATAAAACTTTATGAAGAGAGGGGTACTGAAATGACCTATCTAGTATCAATAAAACAGTTAATGTCTAATTTTGGAAGATTTTTACTCACAAGCTAACATCCTAAAGGAGAGGTTTATAGAAAAAGGATATGATACTGTCTCCTTAGAAGAGGGAATTAATGAGATGGCGGTTATAGATAGCTCTGAATTACTTTCCACCAGTAAAAAAGAAAGGGTACCCAAGGTGTGCCCTTTCATAACTAATTATTCAATACAGCATAAAGACATCTCAAAAATCCTTAAGAAAAATTGGGGTGTTCTAAAAAATGATCCAATATTGGGGAACACCCTTCCTGACAGACTCGAACTTGTTTTTCGGAAAGCACCTTCATTACGGCATTTTATAGCTCTTAATGTAATAGACCCACCACAGAACATTACTTTTTCTTACGGCTTAAAAGCATTTTATCCTTGTAATAAATGTGTCATGTGTACATGTAATGGTATCCGGAAAGCCAAAAAAGAAATATTCACTTCAATCACTACAGGTAAATCTTACGATATTGACTCATTAATCACATGCAATAGCACCCATGCGGTATACCTGCTGGAATGCCCATGTAAAAAGCAGTACGTAGGTAGGACAACTAGAAGACTTAGAGATCATCTGAGAGAGCATTTATATAACATCAAGAAAGGTTTTAAAGAACATGCGTTGTCCAAGCATTACAGGTATTTTCACCATAGGAATCCAGAGAGTCTTACATTTATGGGCATAGATATCATTAAACATAACTGGAGAGGTAATCACAGAACAAGAGAGGTTTCGAAGCTTGAAACAAAATGGATCTATGAGCTTAGATCTTTGTCCCCTTTGGGACATAATGTGGAATTAGACATTAACTGTTTTATTGATACTAGATAGGTCATTTCAGTACCCCTCTCTTCATAAAGTTTTATATACTCTGTTTTATTCATTTACATTTATTTATTAGAACATATATGACGGTTCACAACTGTATAATGTTATTGTAGGTCAATCCTAGTCTTTTACAATGTCATGCCATCTTTTACCCCTTTTTTTTTGTGTGTTCTATTCTATTTATCACATCAGAGTACTATTGATACATTTTTCACCAACCCATTTTTTAACCCTCAGAATATTTTAGTTTTGGATTTTTTTTACTTTTTACCATTTTAAAAAAAAAAATTTTTTTGGTATATCCTATTCTATACGTTTCTATATGCTATTTTATTGTCATGTAGTCTAGTATTTAGACCATGTTCTAATATATAACCAATACAGGATTCATTTGTCTTATATTCATTCCTTTGTAACATTGATTTTGTTTTATTTTACCCTTTTAATGTGCATTGGATACTTTATTATTTATTTATATGTTATTATGTAAGTTAAGGCATTCATCTAGAGACCAGTAGTTTTTGAATATTATATTTTTGATATATACCCTGATCTTTCTCTTCTCACATAAATTATATTATCCCTTTTAGTCATATTTTATTAATATTTTTGATATTGCACTTTTCATATGGTTGAAGATAGCTGTTTTTCACTAACTTTTTTCAAGGATTTTTTCGTTAATATTGACACCTATATACCACATTTATCATGGGTGATAATCTGATTGTAATATTCTAATCGATTCCCGTTTCTGTCATTTTCTAAGCAGCCTGTGGTCTCTTCATGTCGATGTCATCATGTCATGTCGATTTTCCCTGCGATCGCGGACGTAGTGCACGTGTGCGCGGGACTTTGGCAAAATGGCGCCCACTTCACACATGCGCAGTTAGTTTTTTTTTGCATTGCAGTACTCATAACGAGTATTCGCATGCGGTTATAAATAGATCATAACATCAGGGACAAGGCTATCCCTTTGACAACGTGTTTTTACACGAAACGCGTCAGTGATTAGCCCTGTCTCACTGACGTTTCTCATTGAGGTTACACGTGGACCCAGTGGTTACTTTGGTACTGTTTTCTTATACTTGATTTTTGGAATATTCCCTGCTATTTTTTACAGATATCTGCTTTTATGTACATTTATTGATTTTTTATGGATTTTCATGACGGACTTTATGTCATTGTCATTTAATGATTTTACCAATTTGTAATAAACATACTACACTATTTTAAATCTTTGTTTTGGTGGCGTTATCATTTTTGAGCCACCTTAAGGTTGGAATAATATCCCCTGGTGTGGATCACCAAAATAGCCGGAGTTGCTCAAGGAATCATCCTCTTGATCATCTTTACATGATTTTGGTCCACTACAAGGTTTGGAGAGTTAACTGATGTGTGTGAACCATTGGTGCCCCCCTCTACCCCTATGATGACCAGATTCTGGATGACTACGAGGACCCTAAGTGTGATTTGATATTCACTATATGCACATTAACCTTGCGCTTCTGGTAAGTCCAAGCATACTTCATTTACATCACAAAAGAAGTCACCTGCATCTTACTGGGTTCTCACCGTTAATATCTGTACTTCTGAGCATGTTGATTTTTGATTTCATCCATTCACCATTTTACTGGACTAATAGATTTTATCATTAAAAGTTGCACTTGTGTTTATTTTGATGAAGTTGATGACCAGAAGTAATTTTTACCTAGCTGCTTTGCCATCACAATTATCATCCATTCACTATTTCTCTTGATATTCTATTTTATATGCTTTTTTTTTTTTTTTTTTTTTGCGTTTTATGAAAGTTTCTACCATCAATTTGTGTTTTAACTATCATTTTTTACTATTATTTCACACAATGAGCGCTGCATACTTGCTTTATCATATACTTTGAGGCTTAAGAGGTTTTATCCTTTATGCCAGCAGCTACTCTCATTTAGTGCGCTCACTCTAACACTGTGCTGTTGCTCTCAGTGCCCCTGCTGACATCATTGTACTCCCTAACTGAAAGAAAAAGAGAACGTAATCCTGGCTGTGCTGTCCAACAGAATTATATGAATCACAAAAGTGATAAAGTAGCAAAATTACAAATCTTTTTTTTTCAAATAGCGAAGTATGAGCGTGCTCCCCTGAGTACTTAGCTGTGTGTCTGGGGTTCAGCTATAACATGTGCATGAATAAACCATGACCAAAATGGAATTCCATGTTGTGTTATTATAACACCAAAATGTGTGTAATTGCCATTTTACAAATGTACAGGTTCATTTAAAAAAGATAAATGTGCCAGAAATGTAAATGGTCATCTATGAAAGTGAAAATTAATGATTCATAATGTTCTGGAGTACTAAGCACAAGCTTGGGGATGCTCTTATAATAGGGTGGCTAAAAAGTTCTAACAAGTTAGTGCTCTGATTGAAAACCCTGTCATGCAATGAAACTGTGCCAATGAGACAATCACTTACTTGCCTAGCATGTAAAATGGTATTTAGCCAGACGTTGTTCCAGCACCAGTTACTTTTTGGCCTCTGAGAGTCCAACAAGGTGGAGGGGAAAACTTCCCATAAGAATAGAGTTGATACAAGTGAATAATTAATTTGCTAACAACCCAAAGTTGAAATATCATCTTTTTGATAGACAACATTTTTGATAGACAATATTTTGATAGGCAGGACAATGCCAGAAATACATTATTTTAATTGTTAGTGTTATTTTTATTACCATAAATATGTTAAAGACCAAGAAGTTTCATGACTCACCTCAGTTGCCTATCCCGGCATACTGCCACCATCACTAGAAGGTTACCCAAAGTGGTCATCAGAATTACTGCTGAGATGAAGGTGATGAGAACTATCTTCTCCCCCACACCGAATCCCTCATGTGGCCTGCCAAAGCAACAGAGCATCAGTTAATAGATAAGCTTGGTTCAGTGTATAGCCAGCTTAAGGGTTACATCTTCCTGATTCTGTATCTGAAATTTTTTGGGGGGTGTTCACTTCTACAACAATCTACCCCAAAAGATTATATGAACATTTCATGAATATTATGCATGTTATTTAATGTAATAAAAAGTCCTCCGTGCTAAAGGGCTCTTAATTAAATATCAGATGTATATGTGTATATACAAAATGACCAATATTGTATAAAAATGTTCAAAATATGTTACATATACAGTTGCAAGAAAAAGTATGTGAACCCCTTAGGATTATGTGGAGTTTTGCATGAATTGGGCATAAAATGTGCTCTGAACGTCATCTAAGTCACAACAATAGAAGAACACAGTCTGCTGAACATAATACTATACAAACATTAGATGTTGCCATGGTTTAATTGCACATAACATGTAAACATTCACACTGCAGGGAGGAAAAAGTATGTGAAGCCCTAGCTTAATGACTTCTCCCAGAGCTAATTGGAGCCAGGAGTGAGCCAACCTTGACTCCAATCAGTGTGATGATATTGGATGTGTTGCTGACAGCTGTCCTGCCCTTAAAAAACACACACCTGTTTTGGGTTTACTGGTTTCAAGAAGCACTGTCTGATGTGAACCATGCCTCGCAGAAAAAAGCTCTCAGAAGACCTACGATCAAGAATTGTTGACTTGCATGAAGCTGGAAAGGGTTACAAAAGTATCTCCAAAAGCCTTGATGTTCATGTGTCCACGGTAAGACAGACTGTCTACAAATGGAGAAAGTTTAGCACTGTTGCTACTCTCCCTAGGCGTGGTTGTCCTATAAAAATGACTGCAAGAGCACAGCACAGAATGCTGCATGAGGTAAAGAAGAATCCCAGAGTGTCAGCTAAAGACCTACAGAAATCTCTGGCACATGCTAACATTTTTGTTGACACATCTACAATAAGGAAAACATTAAACAAGAATGGAGTACATGGGAGGACACCACGGAGGAAGCCAATGCTGTCCAAAAAGAATATTGCAGCACGTTTGAAGTTTTGCAAAAGAGCACCTGGATGTTCCACAGCACTACTGGCAAAATATACTGTGGACAGATGAAACCAAGATTGAGTTGTTTGGGAAGAACACACAACACTATGTGTGGAGAAAAAAAGGCACAGCACACCAACATCAAAACCTCATCCCCACTGTAAAACATGGCGGAGGGAGCATCATGGTTTGGGGCTGCTTTGCTGCCTCAGGGCCTGGATGAATTGTTGTCATTGATATGAAAATGAATTCCACAGTTTATCAAGACATTTTTCAGGAAAACGTAAGAAAATCTGTCCGCCAACTGAAGCTCTGCAGAGGATGGGTGATGCAACAGGACAATGACCCAAAGCATACAAGTAATTCAACAAAACAATGGCTGCAACATCACAGAATACACCTTCTGGAGTGGCCCAGTCAGAGTCCTGACCTCAACCCGATTGAAATGCTGTGGCATAACCTTAAGAGAGCGATTCACACCAGACATCGCAAGAATATTGCTACACTGAAACAGTCTTGTGAAGAGGAGTGGTCCAAAATTACTCCAGATCGTTCTGCAGGTCTAATCTGCAACTACAGGAAACGTTTGGTTGAGGTTATTGCTGCCAAAGGAGGGTCAACCAGTTATTAAGTCCAAAGGTTCACATACTTTTTCCTCCCTGCACTGTGAATGTTTACATGTTATGTGCAATTAAACCATGGCAACATCTAATGTTTGTGTAATATTATGTTCAGCAGACTGTATTCTTCTATTGTTGTGACTTAGATGACATTCAGAGCACATTTTATGCCCAATTCATGCAAAACTCCACGTAATCCCAAGGGGTTCACATACTTTTTCTTGCAACTGTACTCCAACTACTGAAATTTCAATTAGTGCTAAACAAAAAAAAAGAGAAAATACATTTATAAAAATATTAAAATGACAAATCATTGCTGCTACCTTTTTAAAAAAACAACCAATAAAGTGCAAAGTGTCCACTTCACAGTAGCGCTGTGATGAAGTAATATTAAAGTGTATAAATAAGTCCTTATAATGATAGTCCACAGTAACTAATAAGTGAAGAAAAGTGCTTCTTTCTTTTCCAAAAACTGCTTCTTTTCACCAAAACACCATAAGTGCTTGTGCAACTTCATCTCCCCCCTATGGGCAAACGCTCATCAAATCTCCATGCCTCCCACTCCCATGGTTGGCATAGCTAGCTTTAAAAGTTCCACATCTGCTCTCTGGTGGTTGTTCTCCACTGAAAACCCCTCACTCTAAAAAGAAAAAAATGGTGATGGTTTTTAGTACAGTCATCACCCCTTTAATCATGCAGCTATTTTCGCAAAAAAACAAATGATTAAAAAGAAACTTTCTAGAAAATGACAAGGAGGCTTCTATTGCTACTTCCCATTCTGCCAATGCTAATTTATGCGCCTACTTCAAAATTACACTATATTGCCAAAAGTATTGGGACACCCCTCCAAATTATTGGATTCAGATGTTACAATCACCTCCATGGTCACAGTGTGTATAAAATCAAGCACCTAGGCATGCAGACTGCTTCTACAAACATCTGTGAAAGAATGGGTCGCTCTCAGGAGCTCAGTGAATTCAAGCGTGGTACCGTGATAGGTTGCCACCTGTGCAATAAGTCCATCCATTAAATTTCCTTGCTACTAAGTATTCCACGGTCAACTGTTAGTGGTATTATAACAAAGTGGAAGCAGTTGGGAACAACAGCAACTTGGGGTCAGCGCACAGTGTGCAGAAGTCGCCAACTGTCTGCAGAGCCGTGTGGCTTTCAAATTAGAAAACTTCATGTGGCATTCAGATTAGCACACAGTGCATAGGGAGCTTCATGGAATGGGTTTCCATGGCCAAATAGCTGCATCCAAGCCTTACATCACCAAGTGCAATGCAAAGTGTCCAGATGCAGTGGTGTAAAGCACTCCACCACTGGACTGGACAAATCACACGTCTCTATCCTGCAATCTGATGGACATGTCTACATTTGGTGGTTGCCAGAACGGTACTTGCCTGACTGCATTGTTCCAAGTATGGTGGAGGGGGATTATGGTGTGGGGTTGTTTTTCAGGGGTTGGGCTTAGCCCCTTAGTTTCAGTGAAGGAAACTCTTAAGGCGTCAGCATACCAAGACATTTTGGACAATTTCATGCTCCCATCTTTGTGGGAACCTTTTGGGGATGGCCCCTTCCTGTTCCAACATGACTGCACACCAGGGCACAAAGCAAGGTCCATAAAGACATGGATGAGTGAGTTTGGGGTGGAGGAACTTGACTGGCCTGAACAGAGTCCTGACCTCAACCCGATAGAACACCTTTGGGATGAATTAGAGCAGAGACTGCGTGCCAGGCCTTTTTGTCCGACATCAGTGTCTGACCTTAGAAATGCACTTCTGGAACAATGGTCGAACATTACCATAGACACACTCCTAAAACTTGTGGACAGCCTTCCTAGAAGAGTTGAAGATCTTATAGCTGCAAAGGGTGGGCCAACTCAACATTGAATCCTACGGACTAAGACTGGGATGCAATTAAAGTTCATGTGCGTGTAAAGCAGGTCCCTATACTTTTGGCAATATAGTGTATGTCCCTTATTGGGATATGCAGATAAGGATGTCTGATTTTATTTTTTACAGATATTCATACTCACAACTTTAGTATGCCCAGATGGTAAGTGTACTGGCTAGAACATAGCATCTTCATAAGGGGATTTGCAATGGCAGACCCCATATTTGTCTGTGGAAAGGTTTGTTTCAATAATAGATCAATAGACAAGCTCATCTTGTAAATTAAATTTCAAGACTTGGTGCTGCCATCTTCACCTGTCCTAGGTACAGGCCTATGGCTGTACATAAAGCCTAAATATGTATTTGCTTAGACTAGACAGTGATACAGTAATGGACGCTGTATTGAAAAAGAAGTTATTTTATATGTAAATTGTCAGTATGCAAACACACAGTGGGCATATGTCTGCTGCAGATTACAAATCTTGCTATGCAACAGGGAGACTTGCTATTAAATGCATCATGTTACTGTCAGCGTTAAGTCTTTTTAAAATTTTAGTACTTAGCACTAATTTTGGATTCTTCTAGTTCAGGTCTGCAAGATACCAGATACGCTAATTTGACAAGCTCATGATGCAGAAGAACAGACTGGGCCACCAATAAGTGCCCATCATTGCTGCCCAAGTACATGCTTGTTTTCTTCTTGCAGGGTTTTAGCAAATCTTTACTGTGCTCATGTTCCTTACAATATAATAGCGCTTATTGCTCCAGAAAAGACAAAGGGTATATTTATGAAAAGCTGTAGAGCAATTCATCTAGTGAAAGTGCATGTACATTCATTCTGTTCAAATGAGGCAGTAGCAACTGTTATTAGGAAATTTCCTGTTTTGTTTGAATGTCTTTCACTTATTTCAATTGGGAAATACCACATGGGGACACTAGATGGTGTAATGATTGTGCACAATAGGGACATGGAAGCTGTAGGCAACAGCCATCTTGTTAAGGTCTCAGCCATTTTGTTTTCATGAGCAGTGATCTTACTCCCTCCCTCTTCCTGCAAACTCTGGAATTTGTAGCCATAACTTTTAACAAACTTCAAAAGTGCCTCTTATCTCAATCAGGAATGCAAAGAGACCTGGTCAGTGCTGTAGAACATGGATTGAGGTCTGCAGGATGTCTGTTTCCATTAACCATGAAAACGTCTTTCCTCTATAATATCTCACTCAAGCCTGTCAAACATGACGTGTGAGGCCACTAAAGCTCTAGGAATGCAGAGTGTACCATAAAACATCTATTCCACAACTTAACGATTCCACACACAATTCATAGAATTCAACAGGAACAGGACACATTAATATTAGGTATATATTTGAATGGGGAATATCATACTGAGTAAATCAAGGTCATACAGGACTATGTTAGCACATATAAAAGTG